TTAACCATCTACAGCCTAGGAGAGGTCAGCATACGGGAGAACTCTTAACCTTATAGCATCGCTAATAATTTATAGTACTGAGCCAATAAGTCTCAGCTGGTCTGTTTTAAGGCTGATACTAACAATCTGAGTTTGTGGCTCTTCAGATCATCACGGACAGAATGCTGTTCCATGATGAGTGCGCCATCTACCCAGTGGGTTTCTGCAGCACACGGGTTTACGCCAGCATGAAAAATCCTGAGCAGCAGTGCCTGTACACCTGCCAAATCAAGGACGGGGGGACGGGTCCACAGGTGAAAATCTTTGAACATTAGCCTCTTTAGAGCATGATAAATGTGACATCCAAAGATATGAAGTATAGTTCTCTGAGATCCACATAGAGGCTTTTATTCTGTTTGCTAGATTTAAATTGCTGTGCACTGACTGAGAAAAATGTCTCTTTGAGGATAATAAAGTTGGCTTTTTTTTAATAGTTTTTATGCGATAGTTACTCGTTTTATGAACAGTAGGCTGACAGGAAAGGGGTTACGAGAGAGGGGGAGAGACATGCAGGAAAGGACCACAGGCCGGATTTAAACCCGGGTTACCCGTGTCGAGGACTAAGGCCTCCATACATGGGTAGTGTGCACTATCAGTGGGTGAAACTTTTTTTTCTGCTGCTAACTTTTAGTTTGAGATTGTGCCTGAAGAAGATCCTCAGAATGCCATCGTGGCCTCCTCCGCTCTGACATGCCACTCAAATCTGCTGAAGGCTATTTCCTCTAACAGGTAACCTACTGATTGTTTCCTAAAACTCTAACAAGCTTAAAAAAATCAAAGGCTTGGAAAACTTGAGGTTCATCTGCAGCTTTTAGCTGATTTTTTTCCCCCCTTTGGTCCCGTTAAACCTCTTTAATATGTTTTTTTTTTTTTTTTTTTTTCAGTTCCAAGCCTGTGGCACCAATCATTCCATCTGGAGCTGACTTCTTCGGCTTCTCTCATCCGACCATCCAGAATCTCATCCAGAGCTGTCCTGGAGCTCGCAAATGTAGCAAGTGAGTTCACTTTGCTTCCTGGATGCTGTGCTCCTTCATACGTTAAGTCCTGACCGGTTTTATTCATATCCTGCTTACTGTAGTGCTTAGCAGATGAAAGTAATCAGAGAAAGCCATTTGAAACAAGATTAAAAATAAATATTTTCTGAACGCCAAAAAATGCACTTGAACCATGTTACAGACACATTTATGTGAAATTTGAAATCAACTCTGAAGCAGTTTGAAAAAAGCATGAAAGACAAAACCAATTGTGCTTCGGTATTCATAGTATTTGTAATAAACGGTTTATTTTAAGAACTTCGGAATTTTAGACTTTAGTTTGATGGTAAAAATTAACTAAATGTTTAAAGAAAAGGAACATTTTAAATAAAACTTGACTGTTTGTTCCACTTTTATTTCCTAATTCATGACAAACAGGTCTGATTCTGCTCATCTTTACTACTGAGAGACTGTGTCAAAGTTTAATGCTTCTATAACAGTTATGCATTATGTTCAACTGCAGATATCAAGAGGATTAGGCCGCAGGATATTTGAAAAGATGCAAAGCAAATCGATGTTGGTTGGTTTTCATAGTGATTAACCCTCTTTTTATTTACTTCTCACATTTTTTCATCATTATAATGTTCTTGCTACTCTCCATAATGTTCATCAACAAGGTTTTATGCTTGGGGATGAATGGTAGTAAAAGTCCTTGCAGTGTGCCAATATACGTTACTTACATGCATAGTTTTAAGGCATAGAATATTAACATATTTTGGTCTGTTAAATATTGCGTCCAAGTGGTCCTTTGTGATTGCTGTTCACATATCGATACATAGATGTAAAGATACTGATGGATGTACTTTATCAAATAAAATCAACTTCTCAGAATTATATCTTTATAACACTTAATATTTTCTGAATAGGGTTATGATTTTAGGGAACTCATCTGTTTTTAATTTATTGAAAGCAGACAAGCACCAAGAAAGAAAAAAGATCTTCATCTTAGTAGTAAATGTGGTTTTATCTATTAGATAATCCCTCGTTTCTCTGGATCCTTCAGCTACAGATGGATTCGTTTCGAGGTGTGTCGCCCTGGTGACGGCCAGCTCCCTCACAGCCTGTCAGAAGATGATGCCTCGATTAGCTTCGAAGCCTACCTGAGACACCAAGGACTGGATGTGAACATCAAGATGGAGCACATCACAGGTGCGTCATTGTGTCAAAGCTGACTCAATAACCCAAATAACCCACTCACTGCTTTCTGAATGTCTTTGGAGCAGCTATAGTGTCACAAATGTGTTTTACTTATTTTCCCCAAATGAGTCCTAAATATTCTATTTTTAAAGTGAAACTGAAGCAAAGTTGCTTGTTTGTATTTTCTTATGCATGCTGTGACACTGCATGCATTAGATGCACCATATGATGCAAGCGATTCCTAACCCAATAGGCTTAATTTTACATGTATTTAATAAAGCCAGCTGTGAAGTTGGAGAGAATATTCTCTGCTGGTTTATATTTTGATAATTGCTGGTTTATTTAACTGTTTGTGATGTAGTTCAAAAAGTTAGGTTTGCTCAAATCGGTTCTGGTGTTCTACTATAAGGAGAAGTGTTTTGCTTTCCCCAGGTGATCCACGTGCTAACCTGATCGTCCTCTTTCCTCTTTCAGGACACTCGCCTCCATCTCCTTGTGTCTCTCATCACCAGACCTCCCCCACTGTGAAGCCATCCTCCTATTTCGGCTCCTGAGATTCTCCTCTGTTTGTTCTGAATCATACTTTTCCTTCGTTTGAATAACTCAGACATATATTTAATTTGTAATTATTCAGCATTCCTTAGAGGTTGGCCTAAGGATGTGTACAGTATGTAAATGAGCTGTTGTTTTTGTTGCGATTGTTTCTTTATAAATGTTGATTTTTGAATATGTAATAATCATATATTACATTTTTATGTGTACAGTCATAACCTGCATTACTGAAACAAATCCTACATAGTTGAGTGTGATCATGATACATTGATGTATATAGTATTAAACTGAACATTTTGTTATAACCTGTGGAGTTATTTTACATACATTTAGTTAGGGTTAGTTTTTTTAAATAAATCGAAAGCTAAAAGATAAATCAGGCTCTTGTTACATGAAGAGAACGGTGGTTTGAAAGAGCCAAAATATGGGTGTGTATGTATGTGTGTGTGTATATATATATATATATATATATATATATATATATATATATATATATATATATATATATATATATATATATATATACACATAACGATTTCTTAAACTCACATAAATTGTATTTCTATGTTCTAAAATTACTCATTTATTTCAGGTTAGAAAAAAGCTAACTACATCAAAATTCATGTAGTTGTATAAAATCTTGACAATATCAAATGCTTATTCTATTTTATTTTATTTTTTTCACATTTCATCAAGACAGCAACAATGTGGAAAGTCATTGCACGCTGCTAAGAACATATTATACAAATGGCCACAAAAATCTTACATTCCACTGATGGGTTGTATAAACGTGTGTAAACAAAAGAAATTACAATTGTGCATTTTATCATTTCAAATTTAGAATGACTGTGGATTAGAGAAAAATCAGTTCATTCATCATTCCCCTCTAAATAAGAGAAACGTTTACATGCATCATTAGAAGCCTGAGTCCTGGATAAACTTCTAAGAACTATATGAATAAAATAAAAAAATGGCCACCTATCACACATTTATATAAGCTCAGATTTAAAGACAATTTATAATGATCTAGCAGCAACAAATACAACTTTAAACTGATCCAGAGAAAAAACCATATTGGGACAAACCAGGGTATCTCCACTTGGATGAGATCAATCAGTTCCGTTTTACTCATGTTTAAAGCCGCCTAATATGTGTATATTTAGATGAGAGAGCCAGCTCCTCAGATGCGTTGAAAATCTATACAAAAGCAAAAAATATAAAAAAGAAATAAAATTGAATAAATTAATATTTTTATAAAGATAGATGAATGCAGCACCCTCTCTAGGCCAGAGTTTGTATTACACCATCCTTACTCTGGACTTTTCAATTAAACAGGTTCCAGCTCTTAAATGAAAAGTGCCAGCTGAGAACCAAGCCAGGTCATATAACTACATAATCATAACCATCTTGTTTATTTTTCAAATATTTATTTGCAGCTGTATCATACAAATAGTTAAGAAATCATTTATTGTGATTTCTGCATTTGTTTTTGCTTTTTTAGAAAATGTCTCTTTAAAGGCACCTAAGATGACAGTTTCAGACCCCCGTGATTTCTAAGTGGGAGAACTTGCAAAATAGATGTTCAAATATGTATTTTCCTCGCTGCAAGTAAACACTGTTTTAAGACTTGTGTAAAATCTGTTTGCATCTATCCAGTTATCAGCTTGCCCTCATCTTTTTATTTTTTATAGTCAATATATTCCTAATTTACAGGTTTCATATTTACCCTGGTATCTGTTCATACACTGCAAAAAATGAAATCCAAGTCAATTTTTCTTAAAAGTGCATTTTTTTTATTAAGGAGGTAGGTGAGACATACCTAAAGGATTAAGACAATTTACATTTCAAATTCCTTATTTCCAGTGCATCTTATTTTAACAGTAAAAATACTCATTCCATTGGCAGATTATTTACATACTCAGATTAAGGGTAAATAGACCAATTTTAATAGTTTTATACACTGCAATATCTAACAGCAATAAATATAAAACAGGTATATTATTGAACACTTTTCCACTAATATCATGATTCTGTCCCAAAGAATAAATCTGACTTGTAGCTTCACCTGATAAATGATCTTCTCCAGCAAATAGAAGACTATTGATAATATTTTCCATTCCTCGTGAAAAAAGGACAATAAAACACCAGTCATACTCCATCATTCCTACTAGTTTTCATTAATCATGAAAGTAGAGTGGATTTTTAGGAAATGTAGAAAAAATACAGAAATAAAAGAAATCAGTAACAAAAATATTTTTTTATTTCTTTTTCAGATCCTTTTCCAAACATTTTGATTGGCTGAGTATTTATTGGTGATAAAAGGAGGTGTAGGTAAATTCCCATCAATATCGTAAACAGGGCATGCTTTGAATTCACAGGGCCAGTCTCTCCATGCATATCTAAGAGCGGCAACTTCAGATGACGGACACGAGCCAACAAACAGCCTGATGCTGGTGTGATTCCAATCCATGATGGCAGCTGGAAGCCAAATGGACTGGGTCTCACATGAAACTTTCTTCTCTGAACAGCAGATCTGTGAGAATAAAATTGGTTAATAGAGTTGGTGAAAATATCAACTTTTGATTTGAAGTTGGTGTCAATTTAAATTCTGTTAATACAAAGTTGTTGAAATGCAGAGGAATCCCGAACCACACTCTATACTAAATAAAAATATTCCACCACTGTGATATATTGAGTGTATATTTGATCATTTTGATGAGGAGGCCTTCTGGTAATGTAAGGATCTAGAGAAAAAAAAAATGTAACCACAGAAATATGAAGACCAATATTAAGTTTACATATACTGTACACAATAAGAACCCAAATCTTGGACTTTTGAAATACTGTTTTAATGAGGCACAGCTTAGGCTACGTTAACACTGCAGGCCTTGATGCTCAATTTTTTTTTTAAATCAAATTTTTTTGTGTTGCCGTTCACATTTCCAAATATATGCGACTTGTATGTGATCTGTGTTAACTGCATTAATACAACCAAAGTGTCCCGCAGGCACAGTAGAGGACGCAATGACAACACAAGCCAGGGTGCTCTGTGTTCACGGAAGCAAGCATGGATGGTAGTGCTGGAGAACATCTAGCGATCTTTCCCAACCATAAAAACTCAATCTTTCCAAGATGGTTAAATATAAATACTGCTCTCTGCATCATCGTCCACCATTGTTGTTTTTCTTGCCACTTCTGCATAGCAAGAAGCGGAATAGTGACCTTTGTCGGGTATTAATGACATTCAGGTCAGATGAATGCAACCTTCAGACACAGGTCGCATTTGAAAAGAAATTTGAAAAGATCAGATTAGTATTGGATTCAGGACCACATAGCCATTGGAAAAAAAATTTGCATCCGTGTTGTTCCAACTGTCATGAAAAGATCAGATCAGAACAACAAAACAAAACAAAACAAAAAAACAATCAGATTTGGGTCACTTCAGGCTGCGGTGTGAACGTAGCCTTAGTGGATCAGCCTGTGGCACAGCTGAAGTCCACTGGAAGCCAATTTGGCTTTGATAGCTCCCTTCAGTTTGCATGCATTGTTTGATCTGGTCTCTTATCTTCCTCTTGACAATATACTCCACAGGGTTCAGATTTAATCATGATAACAGGACTTTGGTCAGTCAGGCACACCAATATCATTTAATGTTTATTATTTAAAGCAGGTGCTGGTAATTTTTCCTAGGCACTAAAGTCCTAAAAGCTGCATCTTCACAAAGCTTTCAAGCTAAAACAGGCTGCAATCCAAGTCTTAACCTCAAATGAAATGAAACATCTATTTTTATTGAACTTTGACAAATAGTAACTATGCAGTACTTTTACCCCCCTCTCCTTTCTTCATCTACTAAAGCTGCCAATATCTTAGGTGTTTTCCCAATCATTTTTTCCTGCAACTCAGTAAATTCTTCAAATGTATTTTTTTGTGTATGTTTTACACAATCTGAAATAATCTTAATCATACTCTTAACATATAGGGATGCTCACCTCAAAAATGTTTTTAGATGATGCAACAGAGACAGCCTTATCGTAGGTGATGATGATTGAGTTTTCCTTTAACATGATTTCTTTGGGGAAAGGTCCTTGGAAAGATACATTTTTTTCTCCATAAGCCACAGCTCTAGCACCCAGTGTTAGCCTATGAGCAACATCCTGTTTGTCTCTGGGATGGATTCTGCAAAGGAAAATTAGGCTCCATAAAGTTTGATACAAAGTAAATACAGTAAAATATAAAAGTTAAACAGTGAGAAATAAATAAAAAAAAAGATTAATTTTATTTTGTCTTTAAAAAACAAAATTTATTTCTCCTCATGTATGACTGCTTTTTATTATGACCACGCTTTTATGAACTCAAACATTACAGCTACACATCATAGAAACTGGTGCATTAAGGAAAACCTTTCAACTTTTGACCAGATTCTTAAGTGCACAAGCATTTTTGCCAAATGGATCCTTACGTGCCATATGGTGAGGTTTTATCCGGTAAATCCAAAGCCACTGCCATGAAGGTGTTCTTCATCCTGCTGTTTGGGACAAAGCCCATGTCTGCCGTTTGGTGCCAGCGAATTTCAGGAAATCCATCATCTGTGGAACCGTTTTTGTAGGTGGACAGCTGCAAACAAAATCATTTATCAGATGCAGATATAGATGCTTATTTTAGCTCCAGAATATAGAAATCTGTCATGTTTTGTTTTTTTTATTTAAAGAGCCCACTTCACAGCATACTTGAACAAATCCAAATGGGAAGTCAAGAGCAGTCTGCCCCCCGGAGCCTTGGTGAAATCCCATCCTCCAGTCATTTATCATAGCAGGAAATGAACAGTTGTACTTGTCTTGATGGTACTCTGCATTTGCCTCACCTGAAAATTATAAAGATTTGACTGATATGATTTGAGTATCCCAACTTTTAGAACATCTACCATTTGCAAAAGTTTCATTACCCTGGTACCAGATGGCTCCGTAGATCGTCATATTGAGGAATGGGTGGATCATTGCATTCCATAAAACGGTGCTTTTCATCATAGAGCTGATGGATTATGACAGACAGATTAGAGATCACCAGACAACGAACAGACAAATATAATGCCCATTTAGCTGAATTATGCAGTTTTTCATGTCCCTACTTGTCTTCACTTTGATTCAGTCCACACTGCTTCAGGGCTCTTGGGGAGGACCAGGCTTCCACTGGTGTGCCTCCCCAACATGACTCTACCAGTCCTATGGGGTACTGCAGTTTGTCGTACATGTAACGCCCAAAAAGCCAACACACAGCTGAAAAATCTGCAACGACACCTGCAAGAGCAGCAATACCACACAGCTTAGATGGGAAGCTGACATGCAGCAATCAAGGTGCTAACATTAGATGTATATGGAGCTATTAAATAAACAGGTGGACTTTCTCTATAATGAAATGATTATAAAGACTTTAATAAACCTTGAGAACTGATTTTAGGCTTGAATTTATTGCAATTTTTCTCCAATCCCTGTGGTGGTCCAAATTATAAATATAGACTCAAAATTTTACACACCGACTGATGTTTTCCTAAACCGTCTTTAAAGGGAGGATCCAGAGGAAGCCCTCGTGAAGCCATTTCCATTATGCCTCACATTAGCTCATCACTTCATAGTGGTTAACAAACTAAATCACCCCCCCAGTTTATGATTGCTTGAAACTCCATTGGTTACAGCATCATTCCTGAAAATCCTAACCCTCTTTAATTTCATCTGTGAGTGAAAGTTCTGATCAAATTATCAGTATTTGGACACTAGGGCTGCAACCAATGATTATTTAGCAAATTGATTATCTGTCAAAGGTTCCCTAAAGAAGTTCAAGAAACTAACCAGGTGAAACTAAAACTTTACCACTTGTATTGTTCTGAATATTGCATATCTATAGACGAAAAAGCTTTTTTTTCATCTTAAATGCAAAATGTTAATATTTATTTTTTACAATTTTCCCGAATTACTGCTCTAAGTAGGTCGCTCTGTCAGCTAAAGGCATGTTTTACAGTCTCTCTACTCCAGTTAGTTGATGATTATTTCAATGATCGATTAATCAGATTAATCCACTTGTTTCAGCCCTACTGGACATATTTGGGTGTTTTTCTCTACAGGATAAGGATAAGGTTTGGACCAATGCCTAAAATTATTTCTGGAAATTGTTATACAAAAAGCATATGGTACAAATGAAGGTTCCAAAAAAAAGGTATGAAAAAATGCAGGGATTAGGTATGATTTTGACCCTATATGGATTAGAGAAAAAAATAATTAATCACTCTGTTTTTTTATACAAAAACTTATTGCAGCAGTTTGTTATGTTACCATTACGCTCTAAAAAGAGAAACGTTTACATCCATCATTAGAAGCCAGAAGAGTCCTGGATAAACTAAGAACTGTACGAAAAAAAAATGTCCACCTATCACACATTTATAGCAGCTTAGATTGAAATAAAATTTTTAAAGGATCTAGCACCAACAAATACAACTTTTAACTGTTTTAATTATTTAATACAGATAAGAAACCATCTTACTGGGGGTGGGGACAAACCAGGGCATCTCCACTTGGATGAGATCAATCAGTTCCGTTTTACTCATGTTTAAAGCCGCCATAAACGGCCTAACATGTGGATATTTAGATGAAAGAGCCAGCTCCTCAGATGCGTTGAAAATCTATACAAAAGCAAAAAATATAAAAAATAAAAATGAATAAATTAATGTTTTTATAGAGATAGATGAATGCAGCACCCTCTGTAGGCCAGTCCTTTTATTACACCATTCTTACACTTAGGACTTTTCAACCAAACAGGTTCCAGCTCTTAAATGAAAAGTGCCAGTTGAGAACCAAGCCAAGTTACATAATTGCATAACCATAACCATCTGGTTTATTGTTGTTCAACCCTCTCTCTGTTGTATTATGTTGGAGGAGGATTGTACTACATCATTTAAAGAGTAATATCACACAACTTTATAAATAGATTATTCAATACTCCCATAGTAATAAAGGACTGAGACCAAAACAGTGTTTATGGATCTTTTAATAAATCGATCAACTGTACGCTTAGCAATGTCCTGCTAAATAATTTCAAAATAAGATAATCCGCTACCTTAAAGCTAATCAGACAGTTTACTCTGTGCTTTCTTATTTGTACACTTTTTGAGTTTTATATTTCATTGATTAAATATTATTAATATGAGAGTGAGTTAGTATTCTAGATTGACTGTTAACAAATTAGCCTGTCCTTAGCATCAAAGCGGTTCTTTCATCAGGTCCAGAAGCAGACTCTGGTTAGGCAAGCTCAATTTTTCTGCCAAAGCCAGGCGTTAGTATGACAAATCTCTAATAGCAGTAAAGCACCAGAACCAGTTTGGTGGAAAAGGCTCCTTTGTCAGAGTTATTTTAGAAAATTTGGCAAACAAAGTAAATTTTTTTTCTTTTGTCTTCCTCTTTTAGCCCAGCAGATCCAGTCAAACAGGTGTTTAATGGGCCTACTTACTGCAGAGGTGTTGAAATACATGTTGCTCTGGCCTCCACACAGCCAAATGTCCCCAAACAGCACATCTGTCAGGTTACAGGCACTGCTTTGAGAGATGGCATACACATTGTAGGGACCACCGGCCTCAACAGGGTCAAGAGTGACTTGCCAAATACCTGTAGTGGGGGAAAATACATACAACATAAGAAGAGGAAGAAAAGTTTTATTTTGTACCATTTGCAGTGATGGGTAGAAGTTCTTTTTTTGTCAGTTCAAAAGCAGGACAGGTGATTGTCATGTTCATCATTTGAGGTACAGTATGAAGGACTATCTGGCTTAAAGCAGTTCCTTGAAGGTTGAGGAAGATATTGCATGCTGCAGTGCATTCTTTTATTTTACAAAAGGGAAAGGAGAGCTAGGATTACTTAACAGGTGAGGATCATGAGGTAATCTGACAGTGTGTGGTGTACAGTGGGGCAAAAAAGTATTTAGTCAGCCACCAATAGTGCAAGTTCTCCCACTTAAAAAGATGAGATAGGCCAGTAATTTTCATCATAGATATACCTCAACTATGAGAGACAAAATGAGAAAAAAAAATCCAGAAAATCACATTGTCTGATTTTTAAAGAATTTATTTGCAAAATATGGTGTAGATATCATAAGCCACGCCTAAGCAAACTAATAATGTTGGCATGTAGATTCTATGTGTGCATAGTTTAAGTTAAAGTCCATTGGATTCCTTTTAATACAGCTAACTTCTTGATAAGTTTGGTAAAGCCCAAAAAAGAAAAATCTAACCCAAATTCATTGTTTCAGCCGTAGTGTCTTTTAGGGATCCACGATATTGGGATTTTGGCCAATATCCGATATGCCGATATTTTAAAACTCATGTAGCCGATAACCGATGTCGATACCGATGTTAAAGCTGGACAAAAATAAGTAGTCATTGAAAATAGCAGTTTTGTTATCCATTTCTGACACTGAAAAATAATATACTCAAATATATTTTCATATGCTGATATCAAATTGATTTTTAAAAACGCGGTATCGATCTATTTTACTTTAAAAATCTTGTAAAATTTCATCGTTCTGTTACAAACTCTCGTGATATTTTGGAAATTCTTGTGAGATTTTGTTAGTAAAAGAGATCGATGCCGCGTCAATATATCAACATATAAAAATATGGCAAAATTTCGTGAATTTTCGGGGGATTTCGTAGCATAACGATGACATATAGCAATATTTCCTTAGTAAAAGAGATTGATATGGTGTTTTTAAATGGCAATATATCAGCATATGAAGATATTGTGATATTTTAATGTATCAATATTTTTCCCTCGTCTTTAGAAGTTTTTAAGTCTGTAAAAAAGAAGTTTTTGAGGAAGAAGAAGAAGAAGTAGTATTTTTATTTTTTTTTTAGACTTTAGAAACTCAGAAGCTGATCAAATATCGGATTAAATATCGGTGGGGTGGCCGATGTCCAATATTCAGTTTTAAGGCCGATACAGGCCGATAGGGGGCCGATTATACCGTGCATCCCTAGTGTCTTTGTCTCATTTTTGTATGTGTTATACTTTTTGAATTTGTTGACCTTTTATGTATTTGCACCTGTAGACTTTAGATTTAGACGCATAAAGGCAAAGTATCATATTTCAGAGATAGAAAAATCGAAACATCATCAGCACATTATAAAACCCACTTTCTGACAAAAAGAGCATTTAAAGCAACAACTTTTGGATGCAAAATGCACTTCCAAATAAGATATAATGACCTTCCTTCTGGAACTGGAGCTCCTACTGTACTGCCTTTTTTGATAAAAAATTATCCTGAACAATCTTTTGTTATCCTGTTTTATGCACAAAGATGTTATGCGCATAAAACATGGGCAAGATCAATGACATTGAATATCTAAAAAGGGGAGGATTTCTCTTCCCCTCTTAAAAAAAAATTAAATAAACAAATCGGTTAGAAACACATGTAACTCTTGAGTGTGAAAAAATTAGAGAGCTGAAGTGGAGAAACAACCCGATGCTCTTCTAATTAAAACCAGTAACATTTATCTGTGAAGAAGTAAGAGTGTTAAAAAAAAAAAAAAAAAACCTCCACCGGTTTCTGGAAATTATTATTATTATTATTATTAGTTATACCAAATCCTAAGAAATGTTTCCCTCTCTAGGTAAGATGAGCATCAAATGTGCTACCAATGTTTGGTAAATAAAATAAATGCATCTTTCTTTAACCATCTGGATAGTAAATTTGCAGTAGTGAGTAATGGATTGAGACAGATCTCTATTCATGTTAAATTTGATTTAAAGTCCAAATCTATCAATCTATAAAACCCTGCAGTCATGACATAAAGATGATCCAGTTAGAGTACTGACAATTATGTTTCATATCTATAACCATAGGCTTCAATTTGGCCTTCTGGGGAATTGCATTAATTAAAAGCACCAAGCAAAGCCATCACAAATTAATTGTGACAAACATAATGATGGTTGATTAGTTCAGATATATGCAGAAAGAGGGGTGTGTATTAAAAAGTGGCACTTCTGTGAAAAAAAAAAAAAAAACATGGATGAAAACAACAATCCCAACTAATTATCAATCACCACATCAAGTTGGCTGCTGGCTGTGTTGTTCGCAGAATAATTTAATCACTTCATTTAACTCTGATTAGGGACACAGTGAAAACCCCTCCCTCTTGCCTGATGATAATTGATATAATTGGTGCAATTGAAGGCTGACCTCAGCTTGTAGCTTGCACCCCACAGAAATAAACCTCCCTGTTGATAAAAAACAAAGAAAAAGAGATGGATTTACCTTCCTTCACTGGGACCGATGAGACTTTCTGTTGAATTGGACCCGACAAGTAGACCGTGACCTTTTCGCCCTCAGGGCCGTAACCCCACAACACAGCCCTCTGTGGGGACTTCTGCAGAACCATGTGGTCTCCATAATAGGAGGCAAATCGCAAGGTCGCATCTTATCCAGGAAAGAAAAAAAAAAATAAGCTAGGGCTGCAACGAACAATTATTTTGTAAATCAATGAATTGGTTAATTATTGTTTCGATTATTCGATAACAAAAGGTTCCTTAAAACTTTTTTTGGAGAGTTCAAGATAAAGCATACTGACAGAAGAAAACATTTTTGTTTTTTTATCTTAAATGCAAAATGTTTATATATTTTTTACAATTGTGATATATTTACTGTTCTAAGTGAGTTTCTCTGTCAGCCAAAGGTCTGTTTTAGAGTTCTATACTCCAGTTAACAATTAATCGATTACTAAATTACCGTAAATCCTCTAATATAGACATGTATTCCATTAGCGGCCGGGACTCTAACAATTGCCGGTGTCACTGTCGGCAGAGGTAAATCGTATACAGGCCAGGCTTTAATTAGAACCAACAATGTTTCTGGGCAGTCCTCATCAACTTGTGATAGTAACATAGAAGTACCACAGGGGGGCAATGTTTGCTCTGTGTAAGCATGGGAATTCCCATGCTTACACAGAGATCGTAGTGACCTTACACAATCCTTCCGATCTGAAAGACTGGAGATTACTTGTAGGTCTGCGTTAAAATGACAGAATTTTGTTGGCCTTCGTTGTTCTGAATTTCCCTTGAAATATATATGATAGTGGTAGCCTACTTCGACTTAGCCTATGTCAAATAAAATTTCGCTGTGATGGCAGAACAGTTTCCGTTAACTTTTTGTCCTATTTATTTAAACTTTGTTTCGCAAGTCGGTTTGGCCAAGATCCCAGGCTTTTTTTTTTCTTTTTTGTGTTGCCGTGCAGAAAAATAGCAGCTGCTGGAAGATGTGTGACTTATCGGTATTTGTTGATAACGTTCTGTATACTCTTATGGTTAACTGTACTTTTTCAATAAATTAACCTAGTATTTTATAGGTTTAAAGAGACAAAAAGTCGTTTTTATCCATTCCACTCGCAGTCTGCTTTCCTCTAATAGAAATAGAGGCCTGCCTCTAATTCTGGCCTCCTTCCAATAATGGCCTGGTCCAAGATGTACCTGAAAGGCCCCGTCCTATATTAGAGGATTTACGGTAGTTGACGATTATTTCAATAATCAGGATTAAAAGTTATGTATGTAAATGTACACCATATATATGAAGTTAGGATATTATTCTAACATAAGTTTTTACCAATATAAATGATATCTAAAATTATATAACCTATTCATTAAAATACCTAAATGTCACTTTTATTTGATTAATACTTAATAAATGTACTTATAATAACATTCACCATTTATTTACAGTTTGATTCCTGTCTCTGTATACCATCTATTCACATAGTTGTATTGACAGTTCATATTTGATTTAATATCTATTAGTTAATAAACATAAATGGAGCTAAATCTAAAGAACGACATGCACTTCTTGGAGTTGGTTAACAGGTGGCGGTTGGGACATTTCAAACAGTTTTAACGCAGCTCGCGCCAATGTGAGGCCATTTAACTTTAGAGGTTAAATACTTACCGCTGAGATGCAAAGCAGCTAAAAGCAAAACAATGAGAGAAACTCCAGCCATGACTGGAGGCCCTGGACAACGAAACACCGGGAAGCCTTGCCCACAGCACTCGCTACACGCTCAAGAGGCTGAAGCGCTTAAAGTGAAACTGCTCACTTTCCAGGAGCTTCATCATGGCTGCGTCTCAATTCGCAGGCTGCGTACTTCCGAGGACGCAGCCTACCTAGCCTCCGGAGGACCCAGACTTGGTAGGCTGCTCCGGAGGATCCTCAGCCGTTGGTAAATGGGACGATCTAGCCTTTGGAGCACTTCCTGGTTGCGACACGACGTCATCACGTTTACCCCAAACACAGCGCGAAACAAAATCCGACAGCTCGAGAAATACGGAAAGAACCAACAAAAAAATAGAGATGGACATTTGTATTTTTTTTTATTTACTTGTTATTGGAGGAGGAGAGTCGCTTTGACGGCTTCGGCGGCAGCAAAACCTGCGACGGATTTTTCTCAGGCTGGCAGGGCAGTGGAGAGGTAAGATCTACCTGCTATTATTCTAACCCACAGGGGCCTGCTAATGATCAGAATATACCAGCTATTAAATAAACGCTTGTCAGCAGATTGATGAATAGGTTTAAATATCAAATTTTATATTTATTTGTAAGTTTGTGATTTATTTGTTTGTAACTTTAGTAATTTGAATTGAATAGTTAAATGTGTACAAACCCTGTAAATAACTGACTTAAATCACTACTTTCACCATTACTAATGTTGTGTTGAGAAGCCAAACTGTTGAGAAATAAATCCTTTTTGTCTAAATTGTTATCCCCTTACTGCCTGATTTTATTTGCAATTTTATATATATATATAAACATATATATATATATATATATATATATATATATATATATATATATATATATATATATATATATATAAACATAATACAGGGAAAAAAAATCAAAATATAAAAACATAAAAAATAAGTTAAATAGTGGATCTAGATGAAGTAAAATTTAATTTCTAATAAATCATGTAATAAAGATAAGGAAAAAAAGATAGATGACTGAATAAAAATAAATATTTTTGTCTTTTTTTTTCTACAGGTCATAACAGCCCCAGAGGATGAAGAGCAGGACGACATGCCAGAGGATGAGGAGGGGGAGAACGTGTTGGAGGCAGTCAGTGGTGCTCACTGGAGGGACCAGCTGTCTGCTGAGGTGTCTGCCCTGGAGGAGGGTCTACCGGACCACCGTTACATTTAGATGGCAAGTAGAATCACATTTTAGCTGTTCTCATTTCAGGGTTATGAAAACAGTTTTAGTAAAGTCATTATTTTCTGCGTCTTCTTGAACATTTTTAGTTACATGGCAGCCATCGATTGGATCAGCAGTGGAGAGAGGCACCCCCCACCCCCCAGATGATGTCCCACTCGCAGTCAGAAGACTCCAAGCTCATCTGTGTGGCATCCCATCCAGTCCAGCACCACCAGGGACTCCTGCTCAGTCACAATTGTATATATATGTTCTCTAGTAATATTTACTGTATATCTTTTGTAAATAGTTGTAGTAGTTAATTTTAAAATCTAATGTCAATAGTTAAAAATGTTTAATAGTTTATTGTAAATACTTGCTTCTCTAAAAATAAACTGATGTCACTGAGAAGTTGTTCTAAGTTTACTTAAATTATAAAGAAGTGATGAAACAGATCATGTAAAAAGGTTAAAAGACTTTAAGAACACACCGACAGCAATAACTTTTATAAACAATTTAATTTAACCATAACAGCAACACAGAACTTCAACTTGTTAAAAAAAACACCAAAAAAATAATAACATCTGTCCACCATCCTCTCCAATAAATGAAATAATCTGTTCATCCTTTCCCGCCTCCCTCTGCCATCTCCTCCCTGATTAAATCCACCAACTCGTCACTCCTTCTTCTCTTCCTCCTTTCCCTCCTCTCTCCTGGCCTCTCATCCTCACTCTCTTCCTCGTCATCGCCCTGATGCTGCTCAGCCTCTGCAGCACCTGGCACTGGTGTGTCCTCAGGGATGGAGGCAATTAGGACAGGTGGGGCAACAGAGGGCCTCCGTCCTAATACCTCATCCATGAGGACAAACCAGGGCCAGGTGACAGCAGTAGGATTCCCATTGACCGCTGCCCTGTCCAAGGATCTGTGCATTCCTAAAGTAGAGGAAAACAATTTGTATCAACTGATGCTATTTTCTGTAGTGTTTCTTTAAAGCTAGAAAAAAGGAATGTTTCATGATTTGGATGGATTAATGAAATTCTACAGAAAAAGACTGGAATGGTAACCTGGAGATTACTTTTTCAAGCTTACTCAAAGTGGAAATTAACATGAATATAATAAATGAAAGATGTAATTGCCCTACACACACACACATACATACATATATATATATATATATATAGGTGTGTGTGTGTTTCATTACATTATCCAAACCTGAACATACTTTGTATTTTTTTTTTAAGTTGTCCCACACAAGGATCACTTCTATCACAAAAATGAGATTTACAAAAAGTGGCATCTGAGCATCATTTGTTGTGATCAAAAGATTATATTTGTACGTTGGTGTTTGAACAGGACTTCTTTTAACTTGTGTGACTTTTACATAGAAATGCAACATGTAGATGGAATTCTGCCTCAACTCTTCCCTCCATCCGACTGCAGCAGTATTTTTGGCCCCGATGATAAGGAGGTCATTTTATCCACTCCTCTGTCTGCTCCCTGGAACAAAATGACATGTAAAGCATATTTCTGTTAAGTCAACAGGCAAAATAACTGTTCTGTATAATTACGCCTGTATTGTTCTTCAAGCGAATTATACTTTAAACCTTATTATACTGTACTGTAAATAAACTACATTATTGAGTATTAAAACAAAACGTTTGCAGTATTAACAGCCCAGTACAGCTGGACTAATGTTATTTCTTCAGCTGCATTAAGCTTTAACAGCTCTAATCCTTTGTTATAAACTGTATGAGAATAAATAGATCTGATTAGAGAGGGATACGGCTATCAGTACAGTAAGATGTAGGTTAAAATAAAAAATAGTGACATTTGTATGAAGGCTTTTAATTGTTGATGAACATCACGTATCAACAGGTTAGCTCTAAGCTTTAGCTTTAGCTGCTCCTACACATTCCGGTGGCTCCGTCACCGTCATGTATTTTAATAGATGTTCATAAAAAAAACAACAAAAAAAACAAACTACTTACATTTAAAGGTGTTCTCCGCACTACTGTCGGTGCTGCTGCTGCTTTCGGTTGTCCGTAACTTGAAGAAAATCCGACTTTCTTCTTCTTCTTTTTCTTCAACTAAAAAAAACAAAACAAAAAAGAAAGCGCGCAAAGCACCTCGGGAAATCTAGCGGGAGGCGAGGCCACTAAGGACGGTAGCGATGCATCCTCAGAATTCGGGGAAAAGGAGGACGCATTTTGAGGCTGCATTTTAAGCGTCCTCAGAATTTTTGCCAAATGGGACGGCCTCCGCGCAGCGTTGTGACGTCACCGGCCTCAAAATGCGTACTACCAAGTACGCAGCCTGCGAATTGAGACGCATGATTATACAGACTCAGTGTCCCGAGGGTCATTGAATTCGGAGTTTCAAAATAAAAGCACGAACCATAGCGATCAATATTTTTGTTTATTTTGACAACTTTACTTGTGCAGAAAATTACGGTAGAGGATTAGGGTCACTGAAAAAAAAAAAAAAGTTTTTGACTTTTTTCTCAGAATTGTGACTTTAATCTCAGAATTCTGACTTTTTTTCTCAGAATTCTGACTTTTATTATTGTCAGAATTCAGTCAGAATTCTGACTTTAATCTCAGAATTCTGAGAAAAAAGTCAGAATTCTGTGATTAAAGTCAGAATTCTGAGAAAAAAGTCAGAATTCTGAGATTAAAGTCAGAATTCTGTGATTAAAGTCAGAATTCTGAGAAAAAAGTCAGAATTCTGAGATTAAAGTCAGAATTCTGAGAAAAAAGTCAGAATTCTGACTTTAATCTCAGAATTCTGAGAAAAAAGTCAGAATTCTGACTTTCCCATGTTAAACTGAAATAAAATAAAAAAATCAGTTTACTTTTTTTTTTTTTTCAGTGGCCCTAATCCTCTTCCGTAGAAAATGAAATCACTGAAATTGATGGTTTTTCCGTTGATTTCTTTTTTCTTTCTTTCTTTTTACACCGTTTTAAATTTTAAGATATGACAAGAACACAATACATTTGTAACAGGATGAACCTCAGACCTCTAGTCTCTTTTCAGATATATACTAATTTTCAAGGCTATGCTGTAAAAGAACAAGAACGAAGAATTTTTACTAATTACATTTTTATATGGTGGATAATTTAGTTAATTCAATTCAGTTTATTTGTATAGCGCCAATAGGGGGTTTTCAGTGACGTCACTGGCCAGCTTCCAGTCTGCCATCTTGGGTGGCATATTATCGTATATCATATATATCATGTCGCGAATGGATAAGTACGCCAGCACGCTAGAGCCACCAGATCATGGAACATATCTGAGGAAATGTTCCGTGATCCACCATATGGACCCCTATGCCCTCCACGGTGCCTTGTTTAGCACTAATCCAGATGATTGGCCAAATGTAGAGCATGGTGTCATAGTTCATTACCCGGTGTTCAATGAAAAACCTCTGCACACTCTTGAGGAAATGAGAGCGTACAAGGGTCTAGACGCCCACAACCAGTTCACATCTGGTTGGGTACGAGATGTCGAAGTGATGTACATGAGGAAATCGCCATCATATGTGGAAGGGTGAGTTTTAATAAGATGGTAAAAATGTAAACAATCCGACGCAGAGCTCGCTATGCTAAGTGGCTAACGGCCGGCGGTGCGCGAACAGTTCCAAAGCTACAAGTCCTTGGAGTCTCATGTGCAGTTTACGAATGGATGGGTTCAAGAGCTGCAGCTCATAAAGCCAGCAAACAGTGCTAACCGTTAGTGCTAACAACCACTCAGGCATGTAATGTACTTTTAACTAGCTGCTATGTGTTTCAAAGGTTTGGTTTGTAACGTTAACTGCCAAACCTCCCTAAACCCTCCGGGTTTCTCACATATTTGAGCCTTTTCCCGCTGGTCGAAATCAAGTTAAGGTGAAATTAATCAAATTAAAACACGGCTGAGAGAGG